ATTTATTTATTTATTTATTTATTTATTTATTTATTTATTTATTTATGTTGAGATTAGTTTTGAAGCTCGTGTAATGAACATTTATCATACGATGAGTCAGTTTGGTGGGAGGTATGTGTTACGTAGTCCTAATGTATCTTGCAACTTTTACAAATGATTTTAGCTGAATAATTATTCACTTAATTTTTGCTATTTAGAGAGAAGTTGCATCAACAAGCTACTTTACAGCATCAACCACTGAATATCTCTGGAATCCGCTGAACAAAATGCTTGGATGCTAGAAAGAAAAGACACAAGTTTGAGTAAATCGTTGGAAATAGCCACCTTTAATTTTTCTCGTTGTGGTTTTGCTCTATCACCTGTTTTTTTCTCACATGGTGCCAGCAATGTACATAATTTAGGAAATCCCTGATTACTTATAACCTGCAGTCTAGTAAAATTATCAGTAATCCTGTCAGTGTGTACAAAATGGACTATGGTCCAATTTTTTCCACATTTATGGGATAATTTTTAGTGGACCTGCAGCGGAGAGTTTGATGGCTAAAATGGAAACAGGAGGATAATTGAGTTTTCCAAGGCCCCTTCRGAGATTGCTTCTGGCCGTGTGATACTGTGATGACCATGTGAAGCCATGAGRGTAACATAAAATAGACCCAGTCCCTATTAAAACAATAAAAGGAAACGGATCAATTCATGAATTTTTTTTGTGTGGATTCTATGTATGCATTTTTATACATTAGACCTTCATCCTGTATTTTTTGTTTTGTTTATTTGTTTCTGGTGTTATTGGATTGAGAGATCTGTGTGACTTTGCAACAAACTGCTACCCCTTCTCCACAAAATAATGAGCCCGGTTGTTGTCCTGGAAACCGAGATASTATTTTATTTTTAATAGATAGGAGGGGAAACGCATTTATATTCAAATGGCTTTGGTTCAAGTCTTGTTTCCTTATCAGGCAACAAAAGGCCAAGCTGTGGGACTATTTTTATAGTGTGATAACTGTCCTCTTTGTTACAAAACAGAACTCTCTGCCACTGTTTTTACCCAGGGGAAACAAAAGAGAGAGATAAATGTCCCAGATTTGATGGCTTTATTAGCACTTTTTGTTTTAACTGCTTTTATTGTTTTGCTGCTAATTAAAAATGAGCTTTAGTTAACAATTTGAAGTGAAGATTTGATTTGAAAGGATGAAATTTCAACGAGCTGCAAAGGAACAAATTTGTCTGTAACTAACAAGGCAGCATCATGTGTTGCCTACTTTAGTTCAGTCCTGAAATTTAAAGATAGAGTTGGAATATTTAGTTCAGAAGCTTTATAAGAAATATTGTTCATTCCAGTTTCATTGAAACGGTTTGACTGCTCACCTAATCTGTGTTTCTATACCTCTTTAGTGGCTTTTGCTTTAGACTCTGCTCACCACCCTCAGGTTTACCTCCTCATCTCTAATGATGATTAATGTGGACTTGGTGCTTATTGGCAGTGCTGTGTTATTGGCATACTGACAGGACTGTTAAGATGAATAACTTTGCGAGTGTCCAAATGTACGCATTCATATTGGAGGTTTTCGGTGTGTGTGTGTGTGTGTGTGGGTCGGCTCAGTGAAATCGATTGATTTGTGTGCGTGGTCAATGAAGAAAATGGATTTGTGGAGAATGGTGGTAAACAACACCCAAATTATTTTTTGCCTCTGATTTCTTTTTGTTAAAGCCCCACATTTATTCAACAAACACCAAATTTATTACATTCTTGCCAAGTTTAATGTTGAAGGTTTTTATAATCACATCTCGCTGGAAGGAGGCTGTCAGTGGTTTTCAAACTTTTTTGCTTCTGGCCTACAAAATAAAAGTTGCAGACACTCGTGACCCCAGATATTACGTG